GACACAGCGGGGCCGAGAGCAAAGCAAACATGTTCTAGGAAATACATGGGGGCTTCACCGTAAGGGCTTAAAGCTTGCCCGCCGAGGGCTTTTAAATAATCGTCCCGAGTGTCGGATAAGTTTTAAATGTGTTTCCGTTTGAAAGTGGATGAGCCGCTGGGTCGGGGTTAGGGCAATATCGTTTAAAATAAAGAAACAAAAACGATGTAAATAGGTGGGCCACGTAACAGTCTTCGCTGTTGGACGAGTGGTCAGGTCCGTCCGGGTAAGTACCACTACTTCACAGAAGACTGGCGTGAAGTGGATGTACTTGTGCCTGTCGCCCATCTGCAACCCTATGGGTGTTGCAAATGTCCATGGGCGGCGGTTGTCACTTACCAACAGGTGTACCGCCAGCTAGCTCGCTCGCTCACATAAAAAAATTGCAATCTCTCCTCGATGTTTAGCTGAGAGGTATGTAATCGACACTCAGTTGAACACACAAGGTGTAGAACACACGATTATATTATGTTTTACTGTTAAACATTCAGTAAGTTAATAATTGAAACATGTCACGGGATAATCTTGTTTTTACTTATGATCCACCACTTCATGAATTATTTTTTCTATCAATAATATTCCGGTATTTAGTTCTTAGCAATTGGCAGGTAATTGACGTCAACTCATATATTTTGGTATATAAAAATAAACTAAATGCTGACCAATTGCCGGAATGCTCTGACCTTATGTATAGTTGTTGCAACAATGCTTTTTGTTAAAATTTGTAGAATCTTTTTCTACAAAAAGTACGAAAAGATTTTCGCCGCTGTGGGAATCGAATCCACGTCTTCGGCATTCGCGGCCTGACTCTTTAGCCACTAAGCTAAACGGCTGATTGCCACACCGACAAAAATCTTAACGTCTTTTATTCTATCTACGTTGTTTTTTTGCATTTGAAGCAATCAAGAAAAAAAAAGAATCATCAAAATCGGTTCAAACACGACGAAGTTATCCGCGAACACATTAGAAAAACTAAAAATATGTACGGTCGAATTGAGAAAAAGTCTAGTCAAGAAAAAGCCTTTTGTGAAGTCTAGTCCTTTGTGAAGTGATACGAAAAACACCACAGCAACTTTACGGGCGTTATGAGCGTTTATGGACGGAGATTATCTTAGTGATAGAGATTACCTATATAATAAATAGTGTTTTTATCTTAAGAATGATTCAACAAGTTAGTGTTCAAATCATCCATGGTCATTCAATGTTTATGGCCTGCGACAATGTTTTCGAAAGCAATTTCGAAAGTGGAGAAATTATCAATAGAAGGAAGCCAGGACAATTTTGTATTCTATTTTGTGTAAAGTTTTTTTTTATTATGTGAAAATTTGCCAAACGAGCAGACGGTTCACCTGATGTTAAGTGAAAACCGCCGCCCATGGACATCTGCTACACCCGAGGGTTACAGATACGTTGACAACCTTTTGAAAATTGGGCTCCGGCTACCTCACTCACCATACGAAATGCGAAAGTATTTGTCATACTTCCACTTTACGCTGGTCTTCTGTGAGGTCATGGTACTTACACGGACGGGCCTGCTCATTTGTGCAACAGCCCAGGCTGCTGTGTGGCTCTACCACCGTAAAAGTAAAGAAGGTATAGAACGTTTTTATTGACAAAATGTTATAAGCTCAGTTGAATTTATAAAATAGGAATGGCTTGTTGATTCTTCGTAAGAAAATATTATAGCACTGTCGCAAATAGAAACATACAAGCAATACAAAAAATTAGTAAATGTACTATTTATAAACAAAAGAGGATGTTCAAATGGTATAATAGCTAGAAACGTTTTTGAGTGAGAGTTTTAAGTAAGTAGCTTTTCTAGTTGGTTATAGAAGTTGCATTGATCGTCTATGAAAATATTCTTATCTAGAAAGGTAAAAATATGAACGTTAAAAATTTAAAATTAAAAAAAAAATTGAAATTAAAATGTCAAGTTTCTTATCATCCATACTAATATTATAAATGCGAAAGTAACTCTGTCTGTCTGTCTCGCTTTGACGCCAAAACTACTGAACCGATTTAAATTACTTTGGTACACAGATAGCCTGAGAAAGGACATAGGCTATTTTTTAATTGGAAAAAAGTGTTGTAAAGTTTCGAAAATATCTTGGTATTTAAATAATGAACGCAAGCGAAGCGGAAATACTTGGCGCTACCTAGCTGAATATTTCTTGAGCCTACGTCTAGATTTTACCTACCACGGGAAAATCGTCATCATCCATTTGCAGTACAATTAAGAAATTCAATCTGATTTGGCGTCTTCGATAAAAATACGGACGGAATGAGCATGAATTAAAATCGTTCGGACGGCAAATGGATGCTCGAAAACCAATAGATTGAATGGGAAATGGAAATATTTATTAACGAGAATTGAAAATTTTCCTCAATGTAGAAGAATAGATTTCATCCAGATGTCTTAGATTACTGTGAAGTCCATTCGTTTCAATGTCAATGGAAAGTGATTTTGGTGAATAAGTAAATATCAATGAAGGCAATTTATCTTCAGAAATCCTTTTTAAAGAATTTTTCAGTACGTAAGTATGTATAAAATGAGGCATCATTAAAAACGACGTGAGGTACTTATATATACTCATATATTAATATAAGTATTCGGCATTTTATTTTAATTTTTGTAAAAGATATTTTGATATCATCTGCGGCAATTGCGTCTATTGGAGGTTTTCATAGCCGGTTTATAGTTACTTAGTTTTTAGTATCTTTTCTATTTTGTTGTGGGATTCGATCCTACGACCCCCGACGCCGAAGCCAAAAGCTTAATAACGGCGTCACCGGTTCGTAAAGTGTAATTTCTTACGTGCTTACCCATTTTTGATTATTTCATTTTTAATCAATTAATTTGTTTGGGTTTTTTCACGCTGCATATCGCAACAGTAGAGGCGTAGTAGTAGTGTTTTGGCGAGGAACAGGTTCTCTTCTTGTAGGTCTTGACGTTCGGGATATGTCATAGGAAATATCTAATTCCACTTGGTGAGTGTTGTTCTTCCATGTTACAAGTTTGGAAGCGAGTAGGCGGTTCACCTGATGTTAAGTGCTTTACGCTGGTCTTTTGTGAGGTTGAGGTACTGACCCGGACGAGCCTGCCCATAAGTGCAACAGCTAAGGGTGCTGCGCGGCCCTACCACAGTCGCTAAGAAGGTCCACAGGTCTAAGAAGTTATTTATTAGTAATTTAATAAAGAATAAAATAAGCGTCATTATTATATAAATGATTACATTAATGATAATAAGCCCTGGGAATGAGTGAATCGCTCCCAAGCTATTTCTAAAAAAAAGGTGAATATTACTTTAAAGTTTTAAGAAAAAAAATGACAAAAAGAGGATACCTACGGAGTTTCCTTCGCCTGTTTCTACTCCGTTAGGGAGAACCTCATTACGAAACGGTGGTAGATTAAAAAATACTATGGGTAGATTAAATTTGTATTTCTTATGTCAGCTAAGATTCGTGAATTAATTAGTAACAAACGGTTCATCTGTTAAATGATAACCACCGCATATAAACATTTGTAACACCCGACCTGCTGCAGATGGGTTGCCATCTTTTAATAAAGTGGACGCCGGCTACCTCACTCACCAGACGAAAGGCAGAAGTATAACACTTCCACTTCACGCCGGTCTTCTGTGAGGTCGTGGTTCTTCCCCGGACCTGCCCATTCGTGCAACATCGAACTGTTGCGTGGCCCTACCACAGTTCAACATTGCTTCAAGTTCTGATATTTCATTCTATCCGCATATGATTCGTGAGAACATGTATGAAACAACGAACGCATATCCAGCCTTAAGTTAATTACTGTAACATTAATGGAGCTTAGGAGCAATAATAACACACGTCATCTAAGCCGTTAATGATTATTGATTGCGTAACGCTCACAGATTACTTCAACTATCAGTCATTAGAGTGTTAGAGTTCATTAGTTAGAGGCGAGTAACTGTCACCGACGAATTGATTTCTAATCTAGGGCAACGTTTCGTTGGTTGATATTGTAAGACGGGGCTGAGAAAACTATATAATCATATTAATACGTGAAGCAAAAACTTCGTAGCTCTTTTTACGAAAATTGCGCGAACGGTGGAGTGTGAAATTTTCTACATTTATAGTTTATATAGAGTAGGAGTTTAGAATGCTAATATATTTTTAATTGTGCATAAGAAATACATTAAACGAATAAAAAAACATTACATACACTACCACGTATAATTAAATATGGTCGAATGTCGACTACTGGGCGAACACTAGTATAATAAATGGTATTAATTTTTACAGCACTGTTCTCTCCACTGACAGATGAAATTTAAAATTTAAAATTTAAAAGCGGCGTTTCACTCCTATCCCGAACCCTTACGCCCGGTTTCTGAAACACTGATAATCGTAAATGTCAACTAATCAACTGTCAAATGGCTTTTCAAATCTCATTTTAGTTGCCAAAAGGATAGTTAAACTATTTGAATTGATCATTCTGATCATTATGAATATCATTCTGGTCAATTCAGAGTAAATTTTATAATAAAGGTAATATAACGGCAATTTACACAGGTCGTAATTTTATTTTTGTATTCGATTAAAAAATTAAATTTCAAAAATAATTTTAAGGAAATTTTCTTACATACCTACTAAGCATGTGCTACTTCAAAGTTTGGATTATCTCTTCACAAGAAATCCCTTATTAGTAGAATTCTCAAGAATATTTAAAAAGATTTAATGTAAAAAGAGAACCTTTTACAAATTGGTTTTGAATGATTGGAGAGAAGTAAAATACAATATAACTTGTAAAGTGTTTATTTTGGGTATAAAATTGAGACTTGTATTGGTGCATGTTAGAATATAACGAGCCTCATTGGCAACTTTGTGATAATTATCTTCATTTGAAATTAAATGAAACCTTACTTAAGTCAGTCTTTAGGGGTTCCGCATTTTGCAGTAATACTATTTAATACTGCCCTTTACAATTTATCAACTAATTTGCTTTCTAATCTGCTCAGGAATAGTTTAATTTCTTCTATTTCCAAGGACATTTGATCTACTTTTACATTTAATTTTTCAATAGATGACTTTGAATCTTCAACGGTTCCATTAATTTGAACTTTCATTTTTGCCATACCATCGTCTAAATGGTTTAAGCATTTCATAATTTCTTCCTGTTGCACTTTAATTTTACAACTTGGGTTTTCGGTTTTGTCCAACGCTATTTGGTTTTTGTGATATTGATCCCTTTTAGTTATAATTTCGTACATTTCGTCTAGTTTCTTGTTAAACATTTGCATTCCTAATTCCTCTTCTATCTGTTTTTTCTGTTCTTGCGCTTTGTTCATTATGGCATCGCGTATACGAGTTGGCATCACTTTATTATGTCGCCATCTTGGTTTGCCAGGACACAGCACAATCATTCCAAACACTTTCCTCTTGTTCCTTATTTGTTTATTTATTTGTTTAGGTAGAATTTTATCGAAAAACTTGTTATAAACAAGGTTGTCCAAAGTGCTGAGGAATTCCACCTGTTTGGCCAGCCGTCTGATATTGCCTAATACTTCCAAGTCGTTGATGTCATTTACGGCGACACCAACTAGTAAATTCATGAGTACTATTGCGGCTAATATTACGAAGATTATAAACACGATGCGTACTACTATGAGCGAAGTGGCGAGATCCTTTGAATGTTCCTCGTCGAAAAGCGCCACGTAATCGAATTCTGACGTCATCATAACCATTGTCTTGACAAGAGCTGCCCAAGGGCCTTCGAATGGCATTTGCGAATGGAATTGTATCATAAAACTTAAGGCGAATCCGATGATGAAAAACGCAAATGTAAGTAAAATCTGAAAAAGTTATATTGTGCACACACACTCTTCTCTCTTTGTCAGAGTAATAAAAAATATACATAATTATATTTAAAAAAAAAACACTTCATGCTAAATTGAACGTTATACACATTGTTGAATAATGTATGTACCAATTATAACATTGAGAAGAACAACGTTACTAATATTATAAAGGTTTTAGTTTTTTATTGGAGAGTGAATTTTATAATGACAAATATACTAAATACTAATAGAAATACTAAGCGGTTTAATTAAAGACATGAAATATCTTACACGTATAACATTGGACGCAACTTTTCCGAACATGAGAACGTAGTAACCGCCGTTTGGAAATCGCGACAGCAGAAACATGAGTTCTAACCACGACAACAACAGGGCCAGTGTTGCCACATGTCTTGGCCATTCAGCGGACAACCAAGAGCTGATCATCACAGCCGGTGGTAGGATAGTCGCAAGACCAATAGATCCGAATTTCACCCACGTCTCCAGTTGTAAGAAATAACGGCTGCTTTTAACATTCATGTAGAGTAGTTCCTGGAATAAAACAGAAATTAAAAATGTATTTTTGTTAGGAGATTAGAGTTATAGGATTTTTAATTTGTTGTATAAATTGCTACTTTGCTTTGTAAGAATTTTAGAAGTAATCATTTTTTAAATCGAATTTTAAACAAATGTTTAAATATTTAATGATATTTGAGTAATTCATTAAGTAAATATCTGTACAAATTACGTAGTGAAATTCTCAATAAATAAGATTTTATAACTGTTAGCAATTTTAATGCGGCGTCAGCATTGCCACCATCTGAACCTGTCATAGATTGATTCTACTCGTTTGCTTTTCCAATAATGCATATCACCTATCAATTACGGTATGGAAAGAAATTATTGTTTTATTGTTCTTACCTGAAAGAGAATTAGTAAAATCGTTGCGTAAACAATGTAGCCCCAAATGTTAGCATTTAACCATAACGGTGCCATTTCTTTCGTGTCCTTGTAAAAGAATACAGATACTATAAATATCGTCAAAGATGTAACGAAGAGAGAATAGAAGGCTATGATCGTGTAGAAGAATGGCAACAGCGCTTTCCATTTTAAGTATAGAAAACTCTCAACTAGTGGGTGTACGAGCAATCTTTTCTGTCCGTATCTGTTCCCAGTCTTAAGGAGAGCTTCGATGACCTTCATCTGCTCCATCTCGCAGACAGTTGGCATTAGTATCCTATAATCGACTGTGATTTCGCAGTTCGCGTCTTGAAAGCTCTGACAATTTGAGGAAATGTACGAATCGAAGACCTCCTCCATGAATTCTGTTGGTTTCGATAAGTTGTGGATTATCATGTCGACGGCCGTCCGACGATATTTCTTCGGGCCATCAGTGTATCCCGATAAGTCGGCGCCTTCTTGAAGCAGGAGGGAAATGACGTCACGGCTGCCGTGGTGACTGGCAGTGTGAAGCGGGAACCATCCCATGCTGTTAACTTCGTGGATAGTGGTCTTATCGAATCTCAGTATCGTCTTGGCTATGTTGACGTGATTTTTTACGGCCGCTATGTGCAGAGGAGTGGAAGACTTGTGGGGACTGCAGGTAGTTCTCAATCGGACATCGGCGTTCTTCGATAGTAGTAGCTCAACGCATTCGGCGTGATTGTTGGAGACGGCGAAGTGTATGGGGCCAAAGCCTCGCCTATCACCGGCGGTTACAGAATTTATCATGGTTCTAGTGACATCTTCGTCGTATTCCAGAAGTGTCTTCAGGATACCGTAAAAGCCAGCTTCAGCTGCAACGTGGAACACGTTGACGTCACCTGGTAACGTAATCTTGATCGAAGCGCCCTCTTCAAGTATGGCAGTAACGCATTCAGCGTGCTCGTGCATGATTGACTTGAATAATGGTGTCTCCCCTTCTTCATTCTGCCAGTCGATGATGTCCTTCTGTTTTGCCACACTTAAGATTTCCGTAAGCACGTCCAAGTTCCCGAGAGCAGCTGCCGAGTGCAATGGCGTCTCTCCATCGTTTGCCTATTAAAGGTTTTTTTTTCAATTATTTATAAGACAGTGATAAGTGAAACGTGTGGGTAGTAGTAGTAGTAGAAATCAAGAAGCATAGCATATTAAAAGATAATAAGAATTTGTCTCGTAATTAACTATTGCTATATGTTATATATGTACAATTCTCGTGTTAAAATGTAAGTTCCCATACTCCTCAAAAACATCTTGATCGTTTTTATGAAATCTTATAAGTATATGTATTATTAGGTCTGAAAATCGGTTATAATCTAATTTTTAATAGCACTAAGTGATAAGGGTGGTCCAACACAAAGTTCTTTTTCTACCCTATAAATTTAGAAATAATTTATATGACAAAACAACGTTTGACGGGTCAGCTAGTTTATTGCTAAAATATTCTCTATTTTCAAATTTTCCTAATAATTTATGAGATTAAATGATTTTTTCAAAGATAATGGCGAATAACTAAACTCAATCTTATAGCAGTTTTTTTTTGTAATTTATAGTCATTACAAACATGACAACTGCGAATAAATTGCCAGACACGTTAGTAATAAATAAAGTTTTTATTTTTTAAATTTACCTTTAATGTGACGTCAGCCCCAGCTTCTATGGCAACACAAACGCCTGGCACCCATGCTGCCTCAACGGCCGCTTGAAGAACTGTATGCCCTTCTTTGTCCTTCACATCAACCATAGCTATAAAAGGGTCAGCGTCTTTGTAGTTGTAATTAGCTAAAATCTAAAAGTGTATTGTTGTAAAAGTTTTTTGAGTAAGCAGGTTGAGTCGCATAAAAAAATGTGAGCTATAATAATTTCAGGAAAGCCTGCTGGTTGGCCTAGCAACAGTTAATTAAAACCAAAAATAACAATACCGTGAGGATGTTCAACTAAGGTTAGTCGCATCATAGCGTCAGATGTATTTAAATTTTTAATATGTTTTTTTTTTTCATGTAAGAAGGTGGCAAACGAGCTGGCGGTTTACCTGATGTTAAGTGATTACCGCCGGCCATGGGCAACACCCGTAAGATTGCAGATACGTTGCCACCTTGAAATAAAGTGGGCCCCGGCTACGTCAGTCACCATTCGAAACACTTCGACTTCACGCCGGTCTTCTATGCATTCGTGTATCAGCCGAAACTGTTGCGCGGTGACTAAATTATTTACCTGTAAGGGTTCTTCTAATTCCTTCTGAACGCAAAGGTGTAGTGGTGTCTGTCCAGCTGCGTTGAGACATTTAATCGATGCTCCAGCGTCAAGTAGCTCGTTTATGCTATCAGTATCCGCCATCTCAACAGCTGTGTGCAGGGGTGTGTTTACGTTGTCTAGACCCTTTGGTTTCATAGTGTTAAAGACAGCACCAGCATTGATAAGCATCCGTAGAACTGATAGAAAGCTGAAACATATAAAGATTTACATATGTAGTACAATGTGTTGAGAATGGACTGTTGAGGCGGCTGGCAATGTCGCGAAAGCATTCATGTTATCATAATGATATACGCCTATGTGCTAAAGCATCTTGGTTTAAGTCAGTGTCATTCCAATATAACGCGTCCTTACTCCTGCGATAGTGGGTACACGTAGGATTTGCCCTACGTAAATTAAATAACCTTTGCACTATGTGAATAATAAAAAAAAAAACATAAAATACACAATCTAAGCTTGTGTAACTACGTTGGTTAAATGCTTTTTATAATTAAAACATGTAGAAAAAGTGTGCTTTTTATAAAGCAATATCCTTTGGGTTTTGGATTAAACTTTCGTTGCGCTTTGACTGCTTCTTAGTGAACATTGATTTCAGGACCTCGCAGCTAAGGTGTTGAGTCAAATTTGACTTTTATCAGGGCCTTCAGTCTGTGAATTTTATATTTGGAATATAAAGAGACTCGGATTACTTCTTCGCGTCAATGTGCTGATCGAAGTAATATCCAAAACCAGTGACGTCGAGGGCCGTTCTTCCTGCTTCGTCGCATATGTTTGGGTCCGCGCCTGCTGCAAGAAGGAGACGGGTGCAGTGCATGCGAGCGCAAGAGGCCGCCACGTGTAGTGGCGTCCAGCCCGGCTGTAGAAGCGGCAACTGGAAAACGAATGCCGTAATTAGAAGGGGATTACAAAATGAAATAAAGATTTTCATTGCATAAAGAAATTTAAGGCTTGAGATGACGTTGTCTTAGAAGATTGGCGGATGATCGACCTGTGAATAATACTGAATAAAGTTTTATCTCCTCTGGATAACGAAATGTCACTATGACAGTTCTATAAGGCATTAGTGATCTTTATGATTAGTAGTGGGTGGAGATTTCCAAGTAGCTAAGATGCCTGACTTTTGACTTAAAGTCTCGGATTCGAAGCTTAGTGGTGTGCTCCAATGTTCCCAATATTTATCAGTTTTCTTATTTGCCGTTTATGTGAATAGCACCCAATATTATATGTTATTGCTTATATCTAGTTCGTGAGGTATACTGAAAATTTCTTGACCTGGATACTGTAAAATAAAGTACACTAATGTACTTACAATTATTATTTTACATTATAAGATTTTTATCAATTCAAAATCCAGTACTGGCAGCTATGATAGTAATGCAGTTCTTAAACTACAAAAAACAATATTGAAAATTATTAAAATAACGTACGCTTCCTTTAATGTCTCTGCAGTTGTGATCTATGTTGTCTTTCCACGTCTTGGGTAGGAGATGTCTTATCAAACCGAGGTCGCAGCGTACATTCACCATTTCCCTGGTCACTTGGCATATTCTCTTGACTTCTTCTTCGGCATCTGATATCATGTCACTCTCAACCCTATCTTGTATTTCTGAAATGAATATCAATGTATTGAGCGTACTTTGGATGTTTATTGTAAAAACTCCTTTAAGGTAAGAAGAAAAAGAATAAAATTAAGAAAGTGTGGTTTAGTTGTCAATGTTTTCAGATGTGGATTTGACAATTACATTCGAGATAATTTAGCGAAACCATGGAAATTGCTCAAAATTTTATGGTAAGTATTTTAGATTTTGGATATTGATGTGTGTAAAACAACACAAACGAAGGTAAATGTAAATAACTTTAACTCCAGCATAATTCAATTAAAATAAATTTTAAACGATAGAGAAAAATCTCTAATGAATTAATCAACAAGCAGAATTTGGCGGTCGCTTATAGTTTTCGAGAAAAAAAATATTTAAAACTTGTTTTTTGTACTAAGAAATCCACCATTTTATTTGTTTGACTTCAAAAACTCAATACACAGTTCTGCCAACATGATAAATATAGGAAGCTGGCGACATCATACACGTATCGACATTCCGATTTTTTTTTATTTAATGAGTCACAGAACCGACACAGAGCGAATCCGACTCGGATAGATTAGGTTAGAAGGTTAACCTTCGATGTTAGGTTTTTTTTATGACCACCAAGAAATACGAGCTGAATTGACATATTGACAACAAAAAAATGGCGGATTTCTATAGTAAAAATCACACTTTTTCATTATTTATTTTTTCGAAAACTATAAGCGACCGCCGAATTCTGCTTGTTGATAAATTCATAAGTGATTTTTCTCTATCGTTTAAAATTTATTTGATTTGAATTACGCCGGAGTTAAAGTTATTTACATTTATCCAAACGAAGTTATAATGAAGGTATTACGAATGTATTTATGGAAAATGATTTAATATAAGATTTTTAGCCATATGAAGTAGTTAATTTTATTGAAAACGAATGCAATACTCATGTATTAAATGATAATTCTTAAAACACCTTTTTAAATTTGATCTCTAGGGTCCTGGAGCTAAGAAGACAATGGCTCGGATTAATGATAACGGGAACGTTGTCGGAACTATTATTGTCAACTGCGAAGGTGATAAGGAATCTTAAATTCTGACAGCTTCTTACTATGCTAATCTGTGTGTTGCTTTAGTTATTACGTTACATAAATGCTAGGATATGCTTTGAGAAAATCATCAGCATTAATAAACTTGTAGGGATGATCCATAAATTATTTGAATTATTGATGCAAGAGTGGCCACGAAAGAGTCTTCATTGTTGCACGAATGAGCATGTCCATCCGGGGAAGTGTCACGCTTCCGTTGTGGAAATATAACCGGGTCCCAGTTTAATAAATGGTAGCAAAGCATTTGCAACCCTACGGGTGTTGGAAAGGTCTATGACGTCGGTTATCACTTAACATCAGGTGAACCGCCAGCGTTTACATTGGCTATCCAGTGTACCTGTTGCTTAATTCATTTTCGTCGTAGAGAATGCCTAAGGCCTTAAAATCGTCTATAGTTTTCTTAATTTTGAAGGAAACTCAATAAATAATAAATAAACAAGTAAAAAATAAGTATAAACTATCTGGTGTAAACTTTCAATGAAGAGAAGTAATCTGTGTAAAAGACTCGAATAACTTCCATTATCAGGTTTTCCAGAAACGACTACATTGGACAGTCTGACGGCGGCCACTTACTCCACTCATATGAGGAATTTGTCGCATCATGCCAACAATGCTCTTAAAGAAGTTGTAAGAAGTGTTTTTTTCGAAGTTTTAATACTTTATTGGTGAAGATTTCAGATGATAAGCTGACAAGGTGTTAATTTTCAGGACGTGACTGATGCGTTAATGGTGTTGCGGTTGGTTACGAAGAAAACAGAAGCGGTAGTGGTGCCTGATAGCGAATTTCATTTGATAGTTGTCATGAGAAGGCGATAACATTGAGTACATAAATGATTTTAATACTATGATTATCTATTATTAACTGTAACGTGTTCAATAGAATCAAAATTATCCGGTAAAGTGCCTAATATTGACTAAGATTTTTTAAATATTTGGTTTTTGTCATATGAACATATATGATTCAACGTCGATCTACAAATTCTGTATTTGTATTTTAAATTTCAGAATATTCCATAGTATCCGGAATTATTAATGGAGATGATAAGATTTTTTTTATTTTATTCCATGCAAAATTTGGATATTTCCTCTCTTTTGAAGCAAGAAATAAATTCTCATCACTCTTGTATCGATCAGCTACCGAAGTGGGTTTAGACAATTTAATTTGCCAGTAGATGGAATAAGTGGTAGGGCCCCGTAGTAGCCTCGGCTGTTGCACGAATGGGCAGGCCCGTCCGGGTAAGTACCACGACCTCACAGAAGGCCAGCGTAAAGTGGAAGTATCACAAATACTTTCGCGTTTCGTCTGGTGAGTGAGGTAGCCGGAGCCCAATTTTCCAAAGGTTGCCAACGCATCTGTAACCCTCGGGTGTAACAGATGTCTATGGGCGGCGGTATTCACTTAACATCAGGTGAACCGTCTGCTAGTTTGACAACTTTTCGAATAAAAAAAAAAAGTGATATTTACTATAAACATTCTTAGTTCTAAAGTGTGTTCTTCTGCTTAAGGTCGTAAAAGGTCACAGCTGTATGTAAACTCAACAATAAAAAATTTCACGCAGCAGCCGCGGATGTTGCACGAATTGGTAGGCTAAGTACCGGGTAAGTAACACGACCTCACAGAAGACCGGCGTAAAGTGGAAGTATAATACTTTCGCGTTTCGTCTGGTGAGTGAGATGGCCGGAGCCCAATTTTCAAAAGGCTGTCAACGCATCTGCAACCCTCTGGTCTACCAGATGTCCATGGGCGGCGGTATTCACTTAACATCAAGTGAACCGTCTGCTCACTTGGCAACTTTTCACATAAAAAAATACAGATGTTCGGACACGACCTCAGAATCTCATGGTTGAAGAGCTTCTTACACTTTGTATTATGAAAGAGCTCCGCCTCCTCAGTAGAGAAGGAGATTTTACCTTCGGGGAAGTCGAGCAAAATGGCCACCTGCCTGGCGTTGCCGGCGAATGCAGCGAGGTGAAGGGGCGTGCGTCCAAGAAGGTCCAATCGGTGCTTCTCAGCGCCAAACTTCAACAGCAGGCTGAGTGCGTCCCCACCGCTTATAGCGGCTAAGTGACACGCAGAAACGAAGTCCATGCGACAAGTTGCGTTCGGATTCGCACCAGCATTAAGCAATCTGAAAAAGTGGGGTGTGAGAATTTTACTATCTGATTTGCGTGGGGACATGATATATATATTTTATCGAAGAATATTGGTAGTTGCAATTTTAGGGGTTATTTTCACATGTTTCAGATAGTTATGAATGTTCCATATAAGTGAAACAATGTTTACTAGCTGACCCGTATACAGCGTGTCTTTACAAACGCGACACTAAATGAACACACGTCTAACGCTACTTGCCAATAATCATAAAAAAATATTAACCTTAAAAATATCCATAATTAAAAAAAATATTTTTAACAGTATGTTTTGTCTCTTTCAAATTCATTCAACCCATTCATACGCTGTGTGACCTTTACAAATGAAATTTACGTTACAGTTTTATACGTAAGATCTAAAAATCGTTGTTTTGGAAAATTTTATAACTCTGTAAATATTGATGTTTAAAGAATGTAAATGTTTAATTCAATTTTAAAAATTCGTCCTTTATATGTGTGTTCGTTTATTGTCGCGTTTGTGAAGACACGCTGTATAATTTTCACAAAGTTCCGTGATCAGTCATCGATAAATAAGAAGTATCTTATTTTGAAGAATAACGTTTTTCAGCCTACCTCGCTATCTTTCTTTTAAACAATTTGTCAGTAGATGGCATTATATCATTCATTCATTCATTTGAAAAATTTTCAAAGGATATATGATATAAATGTTGCTATAATTCTTTTTTTTTATGGAAACAATGACTCAATTTGTCTATTTTTCCTAGTTAATTTAAAATGGTGTTAGAATCATTAAATTTGATGAAGAATTATGGAAGCTATGCTAAGACACACCTTTGAGAAAATAACATTTAGAAATATAATAATTTACTATAGAGAAATAAACTAGAACAATTGAAGACACAAGTTTTTGTCTGTTTCTGGTTTTCATATATACATGGTGGCTTTTCTAAAGGTGCACAAATTCACACAGGAGGTTCAGACACGGTAATATAATGGTTTATTGAAATAAAAACAAACTTTTTTTCTCAAAAAAATTGCCATTATATTCCCTAAAAAACAGAACTTGTTGACAATGCGGTAGTCATTCATAAATGCGTCGTATACTTTTGAAAGAACTTGTGTGCGTGTTAGTTATGAATAATCGCGCGTAAAATAAATGAGTTGGCCATAAATCACGCACATTTTGAGATAAGTTCAAATGAAGTTAATTAATTAGTTACGAGTGATTTTAAATATTTATAATTTTTTATATAACATTGTTTATGTCTAGAATTTAATTAAAAAATGGATACACTTAGAAAAACCTCCCTGTATATTGGAGATTGAAAAAAGGTGTTATTGAACAGAAAGTCTTAGAATTTCAGACATACCTTTCCACTTCTTCTACCTCATGATTCTCTATGGCCTCGAGGAGCTCCGTGTTAAGCCTCCTGAGGCGGCGGTCGCTGCGTCTCCATTTCCTCGGCCATTGCTCTTCGACATCAGCCGCTGGCGTGATGTCTGGCGTGGACACCACCGATGGCGTCTGGTCGTACAAATGCAACTTGTGAATGTCCGAGTGGGACGATTCTGACCTTGAAACAAATTTACTATAATCATCATCACCATTTTAACTACATGGTTAGGGCCAGTAACTATGTGCCCATTCGTACCAGAAATGGGCAAGTCTGCCGGGGAAGTACCACGACCGGTACCACGACGAAAACTGGCGTGAAGTGGAAGTGTTATACTTCTGCGTTTGGTCTGGTGAGTGAGCCGGGGCTCACTTTATTGAAAGGTGGCAACGCATCTGCAACCCGACGGGTGTTCTATGGGCGGCGGTTATCACCTAATGTCAGTTTAACCACCAGCACACTCGCCATCTTATCACTTAAAAAGTCAATAAATATTCTAGCCTACGGAACAGTACGAGGATCAATTGTTAGCTTTCTGAAGTGAAGATGGTTCATTTCAATGTTTTTGATAATAATATTCATCTTACCGAAATTTCTATGTAGTTGGCTCTAATGGTATATATTTTGCTTTAATGTTATAAATGCAAAAAGTGTGCCCGTGACTAACTTCATAACGGTCCATATGGATTAACTTGAGGTCTGTTAAAACAACATTTACTGAGTAGCAAGATGAAACCCCTAAAACCATGGTCATTTTACTATCTTGAAGCAAATACTGAGGACGAAAAAGGTTTTTTTTTTATTTTACTAAAGTAACTCTATAGACTCGTGGTCCGTACTCTTTTTTGATTAACATATATTTTTAAATTTTTCTTTTTGGGCTGTCCCCGCCGCGTACATCAAACGGGCTTATAACGGTGCAGCAGTGAGTTTATATATATATATATAAAATAATTTACATATATTTTTGATCTGCACAGTTTTTGCTCTAGGGAGAATGGACGGAGATCTCGTCGTTGCAGGTTATTAAGTAATAGGTGTTATGACGAAAAAGGTTGGTTCTATGAACTTACGAAGCGTTCGATAAACCCAATTGCTGTGGTCTGGTAGCCCGAGTTCGGAAATGTTCCCCATGGCCACTGCTCATGGTGATCAGCGGCTGCAGATTATCCCGGTCTTCGGGATAGCCCTCCTCGACATCTAAACAAAGAAAAGTCAAATAGCAACCGTTATTCTAAAAGCTGCCATTATTTCTGTACCTATGTCGTAATTAATGCTAATACTTTGCTTATACGTCGGGAGTTCAACAAAGGACATATCGGACGTCACTTTTTAGGACTATACTCATGGGTCTTTGATGAGTGTGACAAGTTTGATTCAAACCTGATCGTTCGAAGTGGGGAAAAATCACGTTTAAAGATTCCATTACATACAAACCGGCCAAGTGCGAGTCGAACTCGCGCTTGAAAGGTTCCTTACTATTATCTATGAAAACGGCAAAAAAAGTCATATCTGTTATATGGGAGCCACACTTAAATATTTTTTTAATATTATAGTATTTTTTGTGAAAGCGGCAACGGAAATAGGTAAATCATCTGTGAAAATTGCAATTTCAACTATCACGGTTCATGAGATACAGGTTGGTGACAGACGGACAGATAGATAGCGGAGTTTTACCTTTTGGGTACGGAACCCAAAAAAAGTCGTCGCGTTTGTCAGCAAAAAGAGAGTCATGTCCTTTTAATACCTAGACAACTGCTCGACGCAGATCAAAAGTAAAAAAATAAGGTAACGTCGGCAAAGTGTTAGTGTGCAAACAGTTCGTGTCTTGTAAACTCATTTGTAGTGCCCGCATCTCCCCATGGAAGGTTGGTAAGGTACTTGAATAAAGTGAGTTATTGCATAAATATATTATCTATGCTAAAAAGAGAAACAGTAGTAGTAAATTAGACTAGTGGGCCAATTGGAACATTTAATGGGCGAGCTAACCGCTACTTAAAATAAGCGTGTAAAAATATTTAAAATCATGTTTACCCTTATAAAAAATTTAAACAAATAGAAAATATGGTATATTTCTCTCTCATCAGCGTATCAGCAAATAAATTGAGTTTTTATTACAATAAAGCAATCTCAGTTTCAAAACTTGTCTACAAATATCCAACAAGCAAACAGCATCACTCAAGAACGTTTATGATACCTGTTATATGTGTATTTGAAAATAAACACAACATCTCCTTTAAAAAGACAAAATTTAAACACTAACCATTTACACTACTCACTTCTTAACAAGCACTACATTAATTGAATTACTCGCCTTTGTTAAACAAGGAAAAAACTCCTTTAGTCCACATTTTTACCGCACAATATAATTACAACTCGATACACTCATTAATTCGTAACCACGCCGCAAAATTGTTAACACTATGACGTTAGCTTCGACGGTCAAATAAACTTTTAATCGTGCACGACGCGGAAAACGTTTCAAATGAACCTCAATGATTATAACGAATCCGAAAATTTGTTATTATAAAATAACTCGTGCACAAATTTTATGAAAAAAAAAAAAAAAAACGGTCAGTGTTAAATAGAAAACAAAGAGAGGAACGAAAGAAGGCCGAACTGCTTGAAATGAAACTTCGTCGTGATTTAAAAACTCAAACTGTCACTGGCTCAAGGTATAGCGTCATAGTAGAGGCTTCGGCGTCTTCTATCTTGACTCACGTAACGTAAGCAAACAAATCACTAGCCTTTATGCTAACAGCGGCCTTTCAAGGTCATTGCAACTCAGCACGTCGTTGCTGATTGCTTAAAATAACATTCCCAGTATTTAAGAGATTCAACGTTTCGCTCCTCGAATATAAAGTCTGCTTATCTACCACGGTTAAGTAAAATCTGTCTCGTCTTTCACGACTTCAAATGAATTTTTATTATACGCAATTCTGTTAAGTACAGAGTATAGAACTTAAACGTAGTATAATAATTAACGGCAGTATTAATCTAGAAAGCCTCCAGTTGTTAGATATTGTAACTGTGTTTTATTTAATAATTAAAACATTTCAAACAAGAAAATATACAAACTAAATCTCAACTCCAATAACCATAAAAGGCAAACGGTGTTAGCTAATGTTATTACATGTCACTTAGTTTATTTAGTTCCAAAAATAATTGATTAACCTTGTCACCGTAAGTCAGGTACAAATGTGAGTCATTTGTGCCCAACAAAAATTTAAATCACTTTAAACTCACAATTCCGAAGCCATAGTCCCCAGACTGATGTTACTAAGTGAAAGGTAATGAAAAAAGTTGGTAAAGGGTTGAAAATATCTTTAATAATAAATATGTATATAATTTTTAAAGAAAGATATTCATTTAAGCCGATAAAATAAAAAATGTGTTGTAATTTGATGGTGACAAATTAAATTGTAATCTAACATCGAAGGCGTAAGACCCAATTTCATTCGCGGAACAATTTAAACCAGAATGGACGTGTGAATCATACGAAATGATTAAAAAAAAGGAACATTTTCTTTGGACTTTTCCTGGTGTCAGAGAGAGATATGCACTCTTTATACGGAATGTAAATATTGTCTCGCGGTTTTCGGTCGACCGTGTTTTTGGTTCATATTTGCTTTTACCCGTGTGTCAACAATTTCTTTCAATATTTACTTTATTAGAGGGCAATGTACGTGTTTGAAAGAGGGTAGGTAAAAAAAGTAAAATGAATTTTTACTTTTCTACCTACCGAGATGGTGGCAAGCGAGCTGGCGTTTCACCTGACATTAAGTTTTGCAACATTTGCAATACCCGAAGGTTTGCAGATGCGTTGCAACCTTTCAATAAAGTGGGTTGGATGACTTGTTCGTAAGGGCTAACAATTTTAAAACTGATCAAATTGTGGTAAGAAAACCCTCGAATTGTGGTTCGAACATCGCTGTGGTAGGGCCACGCAACGGCCTACGCTGTCGAACGAATGGGCAGGCTCGTCAAGGGAAGGGCCATGGTCTTACTGAAGACCAGGGGGGAAGTATTATAGTTTCGCGTTTCGTCTGGTGAGTGTGGTAATCGGGGCCCAATTTTAAACAAGTAAGCAACACGTGTGCATTCTACCAGGTGTTGAAGATATACAGCGTGTCGTTACCATTGCGACAATAAATGAACACACGTCTAACGATACTTGCCAATAATCATAAAAAATTTTTTAACGTTAAACAAAATCCATAGTTAAAAAAAATATTTTTCCAACAAACTAATTAAGTAAAAAAGAAACAAAATTTGTAACATCCTATACAACTCGCGCCACAGCGTCACGTTGCAAGCCTCTTCTTCTAACAGTATGTTTTGTCTCTTTTAAATTCATTCAACCCATTTACAAATGAACTTTACGTTACAGTTTTATACGTAAGAGTGTTCTAAAATTGTTTGTTTTGGAAAATTTTATAAGTGGGTAAATATTGATGTTTAAAGAATGTAAATGTTTAATACAATCTTAAAAAGTTATCCTCTATATGTGTGTTAATTTATTGTCGCGGTGGTAACGACACGCTGTATACGGTGGTAGTTTTCCGATGTTTAGGGTTCTATAGCCATAGGGTAATAGGGTCCCTATTACTAAGACTTCGCTGTCTGTCTGGCTGTGCGTCTGACCCTCTGTAACCAGGCTATTCATGAACCGAAAATATAAAAAAACAAAACCAATAAAAACAAAACAAACAAAAATATTTGAGTGGTGCCCCCAGACATTTTTTTCTTTGCTGTTTTTATAGATAATGGTACGGAACTCTTCGTGCCCGACTCCGACTCGCACTTGTCCGCACTCCACAAAATATCCAGTGTCATGACGCAGCGAGTATTCTTTAACCTAGTTCCGATATCTTACTACTTATATATATAAGAGCCGTGATAGCTCAGTGTCCGGGCGCTCGCCATTAATTCAATATACTCGAGCAACCTGAGTTCGATCCCCGGTGCTGGCACCAATGAAGTTTATAACTTTAGTGCTGACTTATCACGTGCTCCGCGGTGAAGGAAAACATCGTGAGGAAACTGATTTTCGAAATAATAAAAAAAAATATATATATTTCGAAGATATGTGAAGTCCGCCAATCCGCAGTGGGGCCGCGTGGTGGACTATGCCCTGATACCCTCTGTATAGAGGAGGCCTTTGCCCAGCAGTGGGACATGTATAGGCTGTTACTTTACTTTTTTTTTACTACTTATATAAAATGACAGACTAATTTTTTTGAATATTCGGTAGTTACGCAGCGGGTAAGCATGTACCAATGCTACACCACACCACTCAGGTTGGCAACAATTTTTCGGTTCATAAAGAGTGGCAGTTATGACCGTTAGCTACTGTACTGTAATAACCTGCTCGTCTGCAATCATCTCTTAGAAAGTAAAAAAAGATATATGTCGGTCAAAGATTATGCGTTTTCATATTATTTTGCTCTCTATCATTATTACATATCTCTATCAGTATTCACTCTCTGGTGATATAATTGTAGTTTACAATCTTTTAAATGCAGGATACATGCTGTTTTATAAAGATTTCTTTTAATTAAAATCCAATCAAATCAAAAAATGCAATCTTAATTAGCACTTCTGATAGTTGTTATCAATTTAACTGACGTCATAATTTATCTAATAAAAATTATAGGAATTGTTTCCTCTGTACAGGAGAGATGTAATATACTAAAATAAATGTTGTGTAAGTTGTTAAATAACGTCCACTGAACATCTATGCGATGAGTAATGTTTGTTTCAATTGTCTTTATGAAATCATAATAGTCTTTATAAAACATAGATAATGATAAGACATATAATAAACACCTTATTCTTTATACACCTAGGCATGAGCATATAGCTAAATATACTAATCTGAGTAGATCTAGAACAAACAAACAAACAAAACATAATTCAAACTTTATTCCTAACACAACGCTTTTATAGTAGTTCAACTTATTTTTAACATAGTTTTCCGCCGGTTATCGTATTATTTCAATAATATATAGTTAAATAAATATTAATTGTTTCTAATTGCAATAGGTCAATTTATTTTTTATACAAATAAATAAAAAAAGTAAGGCATAAATGGTCGCGGAGTGCATGATACACACATATATGTATTCACAGACACAGAAACAATGGCTTAATTTTTTCAATTTCGTTATACGATTAGTAACATTCTAACACTGCCGATTTGCTTTTTGAATCTAATAAAAGAAAAATTATGTACCTCGATTTTCAAAAGTCGCCATATTATGTTGGCACGTATGAGAGCATCACACACACTGCAACAGGAACAGCACACTACGAATTTACATGGTCGCCGAATGCGAGTACTGAGGTCGTTTTAGTTACGTGCGTGAAGTCGCTATCGATATCTTGAAATTGTGCCTTGAATGCAGACTTCGATCGTAATAGACGTGGCATTTTAATAGTGATTCAATATTAACTCAATTATAACTTAATAGCCTAAATAATAATAATAAATTAAGTAATCACTTCAATAGTACGAGTAACAATACTTTAACATAAATAAAACGATGTACATAACAAACAAACAATACATATCATTAATTTTTTTTTATAGTGCTAATCTTTGCACTTAAGATTGAACATTAAACTTGATAAATCCAAATAGCTCGTAAAAGAGCAATTATATCTAGAGATGAATCGCAAGGCTATTAAAATAAGAATTTACCAACTCAAAATCAAACAACGACGGTCTCAACTTATTCCATTTGAGTCATCAAAATTTTCAGGACTTGAATGTAACTCGTTTAAAATATGTTTAGTTGTTTTTATGACTAATTGCTACTTTCATAAAAATGCAATATCCGAGTATGATATTTAATGAAAACTATTTTTATTCTTTTATTCGTTTTAAATAATTATACATGTAAGAGACAGAGCCCCAATCGCATACACTTTAAAATTTAGAATGTAGATAATTTTTAACTTTATCTGAAACTTTGTCAAGCGAGGAGGCAGTTCATCCGAAATTAAATAATTACTGATAAAGAAGTGACGTAGCCGGGGAAAAAGACCACAGGCCAACTTGGCATAACACTGGAACACTGGACATTTTTTTGTGTAATAAGTTGGCAAGGTTCATGTGTTACCTCACTCACCAGACGAAACGCATAAGTATAATACATTCAAAGTACCTAGGACAATTTATTTAATGTACATTTATTTCAGCTTTGTTAACTATGTTTAACTTGATTCCGTGGGGTGAGAACCTGGTGATCTGTAATACAGGTTTACACTTATAATAGACACCAGCTCCGCACAATTTTTCATCAAAGAAGCAATTTACTTGATAATTTTTTTTACTGAAGCTGTACCA